AGGCTTTCATCATGCACTGCCAACACGGATTCCTAAAAAAATTGAAATGAATCTTCCCTTGTTTGCGCTGGAATCGGGCGAAGACTGCCCATGCCAAGTGATTCGCTATCTGTATTAAATGAACACGAATTTGTACATTTCTGTTGACACTTTCTTTCTTCTCCATAGCTTCTGTGCAATCTGCTTGCCTTATCGTCGGAGAAGTTGCCTTTTATAGTATTTTTGAATGCACTTTGGGAAATGTGTCTTATACCACACTGTCTGTCGGACTACCGTTTGAATCACTGGTTTCTTTATTTAGTGGTACAGTTTCAATGTTGTTTTTTCGTACTTAACTTGTTTCATTGAAGTTTGTTAATGGTGTTGCTGGAGAGAAAAACCACGTACAACCACAGACGGGGAACAACTGTAGGAGTTGGCATACATGTTTTTGATTGAATAATGCAACGAGTCAATCGAGCTGGTGAAGAAACATTCAGTATTCAGGATGTCCACGTCATCTAGGTCATTTTGTCGTCCAAGAAGGCCAACTTTGGGGCAGCGCGCCACTCATAAGCTTACGGAGAGCTCTTCGACAGCCTACTGCTGACGTTGCCCGATGGACATAAACCCCGACTTCCCGTCAACTTTGTGTGCTACTTAAACGTACGCTGGTGGCGAAGCGCACCGAGTTCCAAATTATGTCATTGACAGGACAAAACTGAGTCTCGCTCACTCTCGGGCAGCATAGTTAACATCGATTTTCTTTGTCGAGAAGCCGCAATCAATGTGACCGAGCAAAAGTATCCTGTGAAAGTGATTCCATTCTCTCAAGATGTTTGTTGAGGGTCAACCCACTAACAGTGATCTCACCTCTAGCCGTGTTGCTCTATAGAAGGAGAACTCTGTCGTTAAGATATGGCTGAGTTGAGTTCCAGTTACTTGCAGAATTCAACGGGTTTTCTACGAAGCCTCTGAGCGTGCTTCTGATCAAAGGACTGTGTCAGCGTGTAAGTTTGTGGTGAGATACCGCACTTGATTACGTACATTTCATAGGATTGCCTACTTCCGCAGGAAGATTATTCCTCAGGTTAGGCACTTGAATCGCTTTTCTCCGGTAGATTTTGCCACAGCAACGGAACTATTGATTATTTATCACGCGGATGCAGAAATTTTTTGAGGCCCATAAATCAAGAGCAACTCTGGCCAAATATTGAAATGGTGCCAGAATATTGTAAAGCCAAGGTTTTATTTTCTGGTCTTCCTGCGGATTCTGCCCAACCAGCGCGAGATCATACTAAGACTTCTTGATTCAGAGTAGTCCATCTTGTAGCAGCTTATTACAAAAAACTTCCATTAATTCGACATCTCAGCTGCTGACCCTGTCAGACCGCTGCGCTGCAAATTAGCAGAAAACTACAGGTTCTCTCAGTACATATCCCACCGACACCATAACATCATGTTAAACTTCATGTGACATGTGTTTACCAAGGTCAAAAGAAAGTTTAAAGGGCAGAGATTAAATTGCTTTGGACAAGTTTTAACCACTTAGCCGAACAAAGGTGATCAAATCGGGACAATAATATCGACAATGTTCTCCTGCTGATTCTCAAAATACGTGAATTCGTGAATCGCACTAACCCAAAGATGTCGGAGACACGGGTAAGAGGCAAGGACTTAGATGAGATCGTCNNNGCAAATTCACTTTGTGTTTAATAACGGTGAATCCAAAAAGTAGGGGAAGAATGCTATCACTCATTCTAATAACTGGTTACTCTAGGTGAGTTCTCAAACACACTTTACCGCGTGATGATGGTGATGATACCAAACCGGCATTGAGCATATTTCAGTACGACTCCTTCATCGTTTGGTTCCCAATTTATTGTTGATAAAATCTTTCGGGAGATGAAAGTGGCTACTAAGACAATGTCACTGTGTATAGTGAATCTGTCGAGAAAGTCGGACAGAACGGGAGCGAGATTGCAGCAACTTATAAACCGGCCATCAACACGGCTTAAGGAGCTTTGAGGCACAGATTTTTTCAGATTTTAAGGTTGTACGCCAATGGGAGTTGGGAGATGCAGTATCCACCTTTTGCAAGGCCTACCAAGTGGTAAACCTGGAATAGCTTCTCCCGAGCGAGAGGAACTAATATAGGCCGAATGTGAAAAGTGAGTGAACCTTTTCGGAACAGTTATGACTTAGGACGTGGGCTACTGGGTGTAAATCAGCCACAGACCTGAATAGTCTCATAGGGCTTAGTAGGAATGAATCAGTATAACAGACTGAGCAGTTGGTCTGCTTGAGGCACGGTGGTGGGGAACTGGGGGACTATCGGTTTGGACGAGTCATTTATGCACAATGCTTTACCCTATATAACCAGGGGTCTTAATCCCAGCAGTGTCGAGGACCATAAGACATCAGTAATTCCGGACAGATAGGAGTGTATCCGGTAAGCTGGCATGCGTCGTGAAATGTAGCAAAACAACCAGTAAGAGTGGGTCAGCAGCTTCTGGACTAACAAACATGATTGGCTGAGGGTTGTATGGTTCCCAAGGCGTGTGATTGGTCGAGGGTGACGGAGACTAGGCAGGTCGGGATTGGTTGAGGTGCACATAGACTGGGCTGAAGGGAGAGACCCGATGAGAGGTGAGACAAGCTGAGTGTGTGCTGTGATAATGATTACTTACTGATAATTATAGGCTTTCATCATGCACTGCCAACACGGATTCCTAAAAAAATTGAAATGAATCTTCCCTTGTTTGCGCTGGAATCGGGCGAAGACTGCCCATGCCAAGTGATTCGCTATCTGTATTAAATGAACACGAATTTGTACATTTCTGTTGACACTTTCTTCCTTCTCCATAGCTACTGTGCAATCTGCTTGCCTTATCGTCGGAGAAGTTGCCTTTTATAGTATTTTTGAATGCACTTTGGGAAATGTGTCTTATACCACACTGTCTGTCGGACTACCGTTTGAATCACTGGTTTCTTTATTTAGTGGTACAGTTTCAATGTTGTTTTTTCGTACTTAACTTGTTTCATTGAAGTTTGTTAATGGTGTTGCTGGAGAGAAAAACCACGTACAACCACAGACGGGGAACAACTGTAGGAGTTGGCATGCATGTTTTTGTTTGAATAATGCAACGAGTCAATCGAGCTGGTGAAGAAACATTCAGTATTCAGGATGTCCACGTCATCTAGGTCATTTTGTCGTCCAAGAAGGCCAACTTTGGGGCAGCGCGCCACTCATAAGCTTACGGAGAGCTCTTCGACAGCCTACTGCTGACGTTGCCCGACGGACATAAACCCCGACTTCCCGTCAACTTTGTGTGCTACTTAAACGTACGCTGGTGGCGAAGCGCACCGAGTTCCAAATTATGTCATTGACAGGACAAAACTGAGTCTCGCTCACTCTCGGGCAGCATAGTTAACATCGATTTTCTTTGTCGAGAAGCCGCAATCAATGTGACCGAGCAAAAGTATCCTGTGAAAGTGATTCCATTCTCTCAAGATGTTTGTTGAGGGTCAACCCACTAACAGTGATCTCACCTCTAGCCGTGTTGCTCTATAGAAGGAGAACTCTGTCGTTAAGATATGGCTGAGTTGAGTTCCAGTTACTTGCAGAATTCAACGGGTTTTCTACGAAGCCTCTGAGCGTGCTTCTGATCAAAGGAGTGTGTCAGCGTGTAAGTTTGTGGTGAGATACCGCACTTGATTACGTACATTTCATAGGATTGCCTACTTCCGCAGGAAGATTATTCCTCAGGTTAGGCACTTGAATCGCTTTTCTCCGGTAGATTTTGCCACAGTAACGGAACTATTGATTATTTATCACGCGGATGCAGAAATTTTTTGAGGCCCATAAATCAAGAGCAACTCTGGCCAAATATTGAAATGGTGCCAGAATATTGTAAAGCCAAGGTTTTATTTTCTGGTCTTCCTGCGGATTCTGCCCAACCAGCGCGAGATCATACTAAGACTTCTTGATTCAGAGTAGTCCATCTTGTAGCAGCTTATTACAAAAAACTTCCATTAATTCGACATCTCAGCTGCTGACCCCGTCAGACCGCTGCGCTGCAAATTAGCAGAAAACTACAGGTTCTCTCAGTACATATCCCACCGACACCATAACATCATGTTAAACTTCATGTGACATGTGTTTACCAAGGTCAAAAGAAAGTTTAAAGGGCAGAGATTAAATTGCTTTGGACAAGTTTTAACCACTTAGCCGAACAAAGGTGATCAAATCGGGACAATAATATCGACAATGTTCTCCTGCTGATTCTCAAAATACGTGAATTCGTGAATCGCACTAACCCAAAGATGTCGGAGACACGGGTAAGAGGCAAGGACTTAGATGAGATCGTCACCCGGAATGCCGATGAACTTACGTCGAAAGCTTACTTTTTCTGAGAACTTCCTAAGAGTCACTCCTAATGTGGGCTTGCCTCCGATGTGGTGAAATACCCTCCCTGTATCAACGAAGTTGAATCACGTGGCTCAAACTCATCCCGAAGCTCTATCCTCCTACAACAGCTTAGAGATTTTTGCTGATTTGTTAATCCAAGAGCACAGTTTGTGCAAAGAAGATCGTTCCTCCTTTCACCTACATCTCAGTTAATTCCCTTACTCCAGTCCCTTAGTCACGCTCCTTTCAGTTGATTCGATCAACATGCATTTGTTTGGTTATAGTTCAAGAGGTCCTTGCAAGACGGCTTTTTTGTCTTCCTCGATGTTTCGTTTATTCTAATCAGCTTTGATCCGAAAAGAAAGATTAAACTACACGATGACAAAATGCGGTATCAAATGAATAGCTGCCTCTACGTTTCGCACGATTAACCGCATCATAACTACCATCATCGTCATCACCAACATCCTTATTGTCCTTATAATCACCATCACCATAATCGCAAATAGCGACGTCACCATCGAATTACTCATCATCATCATCATCATCATCATCATCATCATCATCATCATCATCATCATCATCATCATCATCATCATCATCATCATCATCATGAGCATCGTCACCAACTTGCCATCATTACTACCATCTTGACGGCTACCATTATCACCAACATCATCCCCATTGTCATGAACACCCGGGAGGTTTATATGCGTCAGACGCAACCCGAAATCTATGGGTGCCACTGGTACCAGTAACGGCAATGCGTACGGATGTGGCGCATTGTATATGCTGGTGCACATCTCACATGTTCGACGCTTTCAAACCTGCAGTAGATCAATAGATAAGAATTGATCGGCATCCTAGTACTCGCACGTCTGTCTTGGTGTGTGTTCAAACCCGTATGTTCACAACATGTTTCAGGTATGCCGAAATATTGTGTCGAATTTATAGCTGATGTTTCAACAATATCCTCAAGAGACGTATCCGAATGTTCTGATAACAACGACAGGTATCCAAGGCGTATAGATTCCGCGGCTCGGAAACTCTGTACATCTCCATTACTCATTATAAACGATAATCACATTGAGCCTCCTGAAACTGAATCTCTGAACATCCAGGGACAGTCGTCGAATTCTGCAGTTGTTGAAACAGAAGATAATTCTAAGCAATCTGAACCACAAAATCCTCCACCATCAATTCCGGAGTCTCATGCTCTTTCCATGGGGAATGCACCTTGCTGTATGTCCGACAGACCAGCTCCCTCGTGGAACCATACAGCAATAAGACCAAAATCTGCACAGTATTTCACACCTGAGGACATCCCGGTCTATCGAACCTTTGTGATTTCTCGAGTGGTTCAATGCGCTGATCGACCAGTCCTGGAAAATGCCGTAATGTCTAACAACCACAGTTATCATGAACTTCCAATATCTGGTGGTAATCCGGATTCCGTTGTAAACGATTCTTATACGAAACACCTTAACAGGCAAAAAACCCCGGCTTTCTCAACTATGCCTAGAGAAAACCTGGAAAGTACAAATTTACTCAAGTCAACATCCGAACTTTCAATGGACGTTAGTTCAGTTTCCATACAGCGCCAACCAGATACTGTTAACTCAAGAAAGCCACCTATACATGGCGCGAATAAAACGACGGATCCCTGGAAGACTGTACGACTATCTTCAGATGGGATACTAAAGACAGATGAAGACGGTACCAGTATGTCGGAAGTTGTTTCCACGACATCGTCTCGTGACTCATTGAAAAAACAAAGGCACGAGCATTACGGTAAATCCACTAAAACTTGCACAAAAGATTTACCGACCGAACAACTAAAACGGTTTCCTGATACAGCTTGGAGTACCCATAAAAACTGTCTAGATAGAAATTTGCCTCTGCTATTTGACTCTGTAACCTTTGGCGAAAGCATGTTCCCTTCAGAAGCACATCAAAAACACCTTAGACGGGAACCAAATATATCATGTAATTCTCATCATTTACAGATCGAAGGTGAACAGGAGGACGCTTTAGATTCAACCCGTAGGACAGAGACATCAGACCGAAAAGACATACATTCTCGAGCTAAAGGTGACTTCAGTCTGCTTTCAGATATGACCCTTGAGGATACCTCATCCGTTAGCTCACTAGAACAGCCACAGCTTCTGTCGTATTTCGACTGTTCTGAACAGGAAGAGAAAATATTAAAGGGATTAGAGTCACATCCAGAAAGGAGTACAATGCAGCTTTCAACAACAGTGAAACAAAGAATTGAGGAAGGGGATAAAGAAGAGCCTGAGAAAATACTGGACACTGCTCTCAAGGAACATCAACAACCAAAAGGGAAGCCAGCGGTTATTAATGGATTGCAGCTTCCCAAAGATCAGCTCCGGAGAGTCAGCCATTCGGAGCGTAAAGGACAAATGTTGCACAGTCTGTGTTTGGAGGAAACATTTCGCGAAGACAGGCAATCCTGTTCGGACGCATGTGGTGATGAACAGCGGGATAAGAACGGAGGTCGACTGTCCGGCACATTCAGCACTGGTAAAGAAGATTCACCTCCGGTTTCTATAAGGAACTCAGTCAAACCCAGATGCGCCAGTGAGTCACGTCTTCCAACCCCGAAGTTTCCACCTCCTTCATCGGCGTATCGGCCAGTGACTGTTAAGGGGATAGGAGATAAACCATCTGACATTGACAACGCATCGAAAGTGGAGTACATGACTAACAGTCTGACGAATCAGTGCAACGAAGAGATGAGATCAGACAGCAAATCTTCAGAACCGGTTACACCAACGTCTACTACTATGCCCAGAGCAAAATCGAACACCGAATCTCAAAGTCGAACGAGTCCAGTGAGCCAAAAACCACCACAAACTGGACCAGTGCCAAGTTCTGTAAGACAGTCAAGAAGACCTAATACTCCAAGTCTGTCAGTCATGAGCGATCCTCCGGAAAAGAACGATAAAGAACCGGTTGGTAAGAAGCGAGATTCTCATTCCGTCCAATCACGACTGATGCCACTTGAACGACTCCGGTCTACTGTTTCCCCACCACCTTATTCACGTGTCAGTCCCGACACAAACGTGAAACAAAGCACTATAGTCGGAGGGGAACAACCGGCACTTTCTTCAAATTCAAGTTTCGTTACCACCAGTTCCTGTCTAAACCTAACACTAAAACCAGCACCACAGAAGCAACTAGAAATTCAATGTATCGACACAAACACAAGTAGAATAGACACAAATGCAAACCGGTCTACCTCAACAACCGGTAAATTGAAGAAATCGTTTTTCATCAATCCACCAGTTCAAATTCCGGTTGGTGGTCGTAGACCGTCAGATGAGAGCGTTGTCTCTGTGCCCCTGCACACATTTATCCCTAGCCCAACGTTGAACCAGAAGAAGCCGGTTCGCCGAAAATTCTACATCCCCGAAAGTGCAAACATCGAGGCTATTCTAGCCGATCCGGACGATCGTCGAATCAAAGCAATTTGTGAACGATACAAATGCGATGTGGAGATCTATTCCAAATTACCCTGGTGCGGATTCCTACAATATATTGTTGTCTTGTCTGCTCGTGATTCTGCTACTCTACGGCGATGCGCTCGCACCTTGGATTGTCGACTCAATTGGTGTCTAAATGCGCAGTTGCGATAAACCCATACTGATCACGAATCATTGATGATCTGTAGACCATACGTACGGGTCTGTACATTATCCTTTTCTTGTATCATACTCTAGACCGACCAGACCCTGTGCGATGACATTTTTTCATAATACACCGCATGAATACGGGCTTACGTAAAGTTTTATCCTCTGACTTCCGTTAAAAGGGTATGTGGTTGGGATTACGCTCAGTTCTTCGTCAGGCTGACGTACGTATGATATCTACTGTTCAAGGTATCTGCCAAAATAAGCAGCGTCTGCCTCATCAAGTTCAGATTGGTCTTAACAACCGGGTGAAAAATTTTTGACTTTGAAGCAGTGTTTGGGAAGAGCCTTCGTGACGTTCGCATCGCTCGATTTCCGCACTGGGACCCTAAACCTTGTTTTCTGACGTTGACACTCTCGACTTCCGCACTGGGACCCTAAACCTTGTTTTCTCCAAACAGGAGAGAAAGCACTTAATAGGTCCTTTAAACATCATATTAGTAATCAAACTGAACGAACCAGACGCAGCTCGAAAAACCAAGGTGGGAGAAATCGTGTCATTGGCAACCGATTCTATTCTCCTTATGTGTACCGATTCTAGCTATACATTTAAACTGACTTTCGGAAGGTTTCGCTGGCTGGAATATTTGCGTTAGTTTGCTGACTATTCATGTGTCAAATTCTTTATGCGTAGGTTACTACAATCTAAATTCATGTTACTGTGTGGTGAAGAATGATTATGTCTAAAGCTGATCAGAAACCACTGGTTTTATAACACAACTAATCTTTGGAAGTGAAACACGCACGGTGACACAGTAGGACACTGCTCAGCCGATGACAGCTTTTTTCCTTCTTGGGGCTCAGCAGGTAGACATAGTCCCCGAGTTTCCGTCAACCTTATGTTCTAATTGAACCCGGATTGGACATATTTTGACAACTATGCTTATTCACACACCAGTTTGGTTTTTTATAGGAGGCTCAAATAAATTCCACGTGATCCTCTCGCTTATGACCGTGGTGCGCACAGGTGGTCTCATGTTTCGTTTGGCACGATCAGTAGCCGGAATGTCTTGCTTGATTCATGACCATCATCATCATCATCATCATCATCATCATCATCATCATCATCATCATCATCATCATCATCATCATCATCATCATCATCACCTTCATCACCATCATCATCATCATCATTGACAGCATGACATCAGTGTTCAACACCAATACCTGATTGCCGTACAACCATGATTTACTTGAAGGCCTTATTGTAAAGAAAAGAGTGGATGTGGACAGGGGAAGGACTTAGTGCTAGCTTAACACAATCATTCCGAGGTGCCTATACCTCCAGACACTCACTCAGGCGATCTGGATAGAAACTGACAACAAGAACGCCACTGACATCGGTTGGCAGCCATATCTTTTAGTGTCTCCAGCCAGGCACAGTGAGGATCATGCGGTCCCCGTCCTGGAAGGCGAGTAGCACAGAGCGTAGCACCCAAGCGTTTCGTGATCTCCTTCATACTCCTCTGCCAAGTTCATACAACTCTTGCTTGATTAGTCATCGATCCTCATGGTAGACCTGATCAGTGCTAAGACATATAGTTGGAATGTGAGCAGAGGCGTCGGGATGAGCACCCTGGATCTGATTCACACTCACCATATTGTCGCGATCTGATCGTATTTTCATCCTTAATATCTGTTAAAATTTCGTTTTCATGGCTATTATTAGTAGGCTATCCACGTGGATTTTCGGAAACTCAGACAAGGCATTTTGGTTTTGTATAGAGGATTTGAGTTAATGGAGAGTCATGGACCATTCCTACATGATAAACCCGAAGAAAGATGAAACTGCTGGGGAACTATTGAGGAATTCCGTCTGAAATATCACTTGACAGTTGCCTTTGTGACTGGACTATTTGAGTCCGATCCCGTCTTCAACACTCCGTTAATTTGGAAACTATTACTTCTTTACGACTCTTCAATAAAACACTCGTGTTTTGCTGTAAAATGCCAGCTAGCAGTTCGAGACCATACTGCTTGGCGACAAGTTGCCGAGCACCATTGTGATCAATCCGTGCTTAGACGGGACACAGTACCATTCATCTTTCAAGCACGCGATTCCCGCCACATACTACTGATGGATTTTGTCGGTATTTGTTGGTCAATCAGAACTCAGGCTAAAAAAACAGCCAACCAGGGAGCCATACATTCCAAAAGGCAAACATAAAATTGGATCAGTTGCGTTAGGAATTTGCCGCAGTGGGAGTGGTCATCCAAACTCCAATGGTAGGTCAGGATGAGCCCATGTTGACGGGTTACAAATAAAATCATACAAACATCCGATTTAGGCGCCTTCACCTCCGCGTACGAACGACATAATATCGGTCTGTCGTGAAGCGTTGGCAACGAGCTAAGCAACCGCCGTACAAACCATTATTCAAGACACCCAAAGTAGAAAAGTAGACCACTCCACCCTTCTACAATATGAAGCACTGGTGACGTCAGGTTTTCCTAGAGAAGTTTGCGAAAAATTACCCAACTCAGCAAGCAAGCCAATCACAACATACTAGCGACACGAAACCGGTGATTTGTAAGCAAGCAGTGGTTTCAAAAACAAAAATTTATTTTTCATCCAAACTGGTATATCTGTGAGCCAGAACCCTCTCGCTAAGGTGGATTTCCTTACAATTCAAGTCGAAGGGTGTCCAATAACTCTTCTGCAAAGAATTCGGAAATGTTTTGTTGGATGCGACTGGTTTACCACAAAACGAACTTACCTACGTACTTATCTAGAGCATTCAAGCAAAGAATTTGTAGAAATACCTTGAATATCCAACAATAAAGTGTTCAGGGAGTCATTTCGCCCTTCCGTTAATTTTGGTCCACTCTCCTCAGGAATATGGGGTCCAAACGATAGAATTTATTTTGTAAAGTTCAACAATCATCCATCTATCCTACGTTCAAAATGGCATTCCTAAGCTCTTGGAATCTGCACCTGGGATATCATCTAGTGTTCCGAAAGTGAGATCATGATGTTTTACACATTCCTAAACGGAATGAGAAAAGGTGTACTTAGGGAATCTAGCAAGAAATCAGCATAAAACGACCCACATAGCATGGTTCACTCAGTCCCGAGTTCCAATGACCCCAGTGGAGCCTCGGATTATTAGTGGTGACAGTTGCTTCACAAGTTAAAGTCAACAACCCCAAAACTGGAGAGCACTGTTAAACGAATAATATGTGTCTACAAAGAATCCAGATAGATGACCACGCCGTAGTCTGATCGTCATAGCTGTATGTAGCAAGGGCGGTTCACAGTTAGATTACTCAATGAATATCGTATAAAGGTTATAGGGTCATCCAATGAAAACCGTTCGTTATGAGACAAGAGCCACATGATGCAAGAACTTCTATCATCGTCTTATAGATGAATATCTCACTGATAGCCGTTTGGTCAAGAGAGTTCAACCAGTTTCTCCTCACCAAACGACGGCGCAGTGCTGAATGAAAAATAGACGATTCACTAATCAGTGCTAAAATGCGTTTCCACTTGAGAAATCTTCATCAGCATTTGCACCGAGATCAAACCAAGAGGAACTCCGAGCAACAAGAACTACACCACACGTGTACTAGGTCAGGAATGAATGGCAGATAAAGAGAAATCAAGGGAAAAAACAAACTGATTTGCAAATGAGTGTATTTCTCGAAAACAGTGCAATTTGAGTTAAAGTAGAGCATAAGGTTGACGGAAACTCGGCGACTGCGTCTACCTGATGAGCCCAAACTGGAAGGGCGAAACCGGTCGTGGGCTGTCGAAGAGTTTACAGCAAACTTGTGAGTAGTTGCCTTTATGAAAATATACTGCGATATCTCGAATATCGTGCCAACTGAAACATGAGGCAACCTTTGTACAGCACATTCAGTTGTAGAATATCATAAACGAGGGATTCAGTTGAGTCTCTCGTGGAAACCAAATCGATTAGCAAATGAGTGTATTTATCGAAAACACTCCAGTTGCAAGTCCAGGTTCAAGTAGAACATGAGGTTGATGAAAACTCGGGGACTGCGCCTACCTGATGACACCCAAGAAGGGTCAAACCGGTCGTGGGCTGTCGAAGTTTTCAGCAACCTTGTGAATTATGCTATATCAGCATCACGCCAACAGCCGAAAAACGTTTTATTGTTGCATTCGGGAAACCGCAACAATATATCGGAATTAAGCATCGCATGAGATCATTACGTCCGACTTCTTGATTGGCGTCATCAACGGTAGATTCGGTGTATTTGGTGGTTAGACCAAATGCCGAAAAGTCAATTTGCCCAGCAGACGTACATACACGGACTGACATCAAACTACACTGATTAGACCATGTGAGACGTTCGAAGTCGAAGGGTAGCCCTAACCAGTCGTTATTTGGGGAGGCAAGACCAAAGCTCCCGTGCTCAGTTGGGTTTAGAAAACCAGCTCTGGTTTCAAGTCTTAAGAACAGCTTTTCCTGGAAAGATAAACAGAACAAACTACTATACAGGCATGTGTGATTCGATCCGAAACCCAATGTAAATTGATACCATCCCTGAGCGGTACTATACAAAGTTACCAGGCTGCCAACAGCCCCCGTTGAGCGTCGCCTACGGGCCTTGAAACCGACAAAGGGTTAGTAACCAGAAGATAAAATGGACAAATTCGTAATGCACTATTGTCGGGAAGGTCAGATTCCGAAAAATAACCCCAATATACCCGACGGAGACCCTAAACCTCCACCAAAATCTGAATAAGGGCCTGTACTAAGGAGCCTGTACGCATCCAGGCCAGTCAATCAGTTCAGCAAAAGCTGATGAGTGTTCAGGCACGCCCACAGAAGCAGACCGACCATGATAAGTGCTCAGGCATTTCATAGAAGTACGGTCGATATTGATCGGTTTTCACTAACCAGCGATCACACAGCCTGAAACATTGTCAGTGCCTTTTAAGTAGCACGAGGCGATGGTAACTTTCACACTCGCTT